TATCTTGCATCTAATTCTGTATTCTGGATTCTGATTTCACATCTCTCTAAGCCCCCTGCTTCCTACCTGTCTCTTCTATTCAGATGGAACTTCTGGATTTTCCTCCTCACAGCTTCATTGCTTCCTTCAGTATTTCTTACAGCAATTAAGGCAGTCTTATCTCCCACTTTAGCAAAATTCCTTCTCAGTCTTTCATGGTCCATTTCAAAGCTGCCTCCTAAATTAAGCCTCAGTTAATGACTCACATCAACCCACCTTCCCCAACTCTACTCAGGATGGCTGTTCAGAAATTTAACATCGATGTATAAAACAATTTTAATTAGGGCTGGGAGTGGTGGCTCATGCCTGTAATCTCAACCCTTTAGGAGGCTGAGTAGGAAAGATCACTTGAGGTCAGGAGTTTGAGACTAGCCTGGGCAACACGGCAAAACCCTGTCTCTACAAAAATTAGCCAGGTGTGGTGGCACACATCTGTAATCCCAGCTACTCAGGAGGCTGAGACGGGAGGATTGCTTGAGCCCAGGAGGTGGAGGTTGCAGTGAGCTGAGATTGCACCACTGCACTCCAGCCTTGGCAACAGAGTGAGACCTACCCTCCAGAAGAAACCACACCCAATTTTAATTGGGGTGCTATTATTGGTGCCATATGAGTTGGATGGATGAATTCTTGGTGGAAAAGCAGCTTTTTCCATTTCTTCCTAAACCTCTGATGCAGGCTAATCAAATTGAGCGCTCAAACATTAGATGTTAGGGAAAGAAGCCTACTTATTAGATGCTGAAACAAATGGAAAGTGACACTGGATGCTTCCTTTTTCCCATTTGGATTCAATACGAAGTGCTGTCTGGGTGACAGCGGTCTTTCTTAAGATATATGTGGCTGATGTCAGCCATGATGTTTTTGGTTTTTTTGTTTTGTTTTCATTATTATTATTTTTTGAGACAGGATCTTGCTCTGCTGCCCTGACTGGAGTGCAGTATTGAAATCATGGCTCACTGCAGCCTCAACTTACCATGCTTAAGTGATCCTCTCACCTCAGATTCCTGAGTAGTTGGGACTGCAGGAGTGCACCACCATGCTTAGCTTTTTTTTTTTTTTTTTTTTTTTTTTTTTTTTTTTTTTTGGTAATTTTGTAGAGACAGGGTTTTAACATGTTGCTCAGGTTGGTCTCAGACTCTTGGGCTCAAGTGATCCTCCATCCTTGGCAATCCCAAAAGCTGGGATTATAGGTGTGATCCACCATGCCCAGCCCCTGCCATGAGGTTAGTAACATCTCTTGGAAAAGAACCACTTTCACTCCTGAGTCCTCATACTTAGATGTTTGTCTATAGAGGATGTCACAAGTAGAATTAGGTCTCAAAAAGCCATCTGAGCTAGTAGAATATGCACGTCACTCATCTTTCCTTTTACTATGTCCTATACCTACTATTTTATTAAATGGACCTGCCTACTGCTTTAACTTTCTGAAGCAAGCCTGATCCTAATTGTTGCCCAAGAAAGAATTTGAAATCATCACACTCAAGATTTTGCTTCACCACACTAATGAAACCATTGTTTTCAAGGTTACTCAATCTTATTGTTGGCTAAATCCAAGTAATTTATTCTTTGTTCTTATTTTAGTTGGTTTCCTGGCAACACCTAATATCCTTGCAAATTTCTCCTTGAAATATTCTCCTCTCTTGACTTCCTTGACATCATGTTCACCTGTTATTAAAAAAGTGTGCCTATGTGTGTATATTTAATGAAATACACAATTGTTACTGAGCTGCATGGCAATTAGCTGTAAGTCATAAGGAATTTACAAAAGACTGTCATTTCATCAGCATTAATTTTACACAATCAATCTAATTTTTAAGAAATTTTCTATAATCATAAAGTTTCCTCTGGATAAAAGCCATTTACATAATTCTGTCTCCTCTTCTGTCTCGTTCTTGTTTTTTTCCTTTTCTTCCTTCCCTTCCCCAAGATAGAGGAGCCCCAATCCTGGACTCTGCCCAAAGCCTCAGTATCCACCTCTCCTCCTTTGCACCCTGATCAGGGTATCCAGGTGTTTGGAAGCTCCAGACCTTGGGTTCTTCAGGCCTCAGAGCCACATCTAGTATGACCTTAGATATGCATCTTCTGCTTTATTTGGAGGGGTCTTTATGACATTCCCAATAATGTTGAGGTGGGACAGAAAGAAGAAACCCAGGCATGTAGTGAAAGAGTGGTAACCCTGGGGAGAGAAAGGGCATATGCCAATGGTTCTGGAATTGTAGCATTTGACAGACAGTCTGGGGTCAGAGGAGTAAGAGGGTGTGGGCTTGGAGATAAAGAGTGGGAAAAGAGGGGAGCAGCGCAGCCTGTGAGGTCCAGGACCTCCGTAGGAGGCCCTAGCAGTGAATACATGCTCTCCAAGCATAGCCTCTGGCAGATTTAGCCTCAGCTCATCCTTCTTAGGTAAGCTGAGAGACAGATGGAGTGGGAGGACAGAGCTGCTTGGGCTTTCCCTGACAGCCCTCACCAGCAAAGCACACTTGCCTTCCTAGAAGAATTTGACAAATTTGGGCCTAATTTTAGCTCTGTCATGTTTTAGCAGTGTGACTTTAGGTAGTCACCAATCTGTCTGAGCCTGTTTTCCTATAGTTAAGGTGGGAATAATACTCTCTACATAGTTATTGTGAGGATTTTATGAAATGAAGCACCTGGACATTGCCTAAAACAGAGCAGGCTCTTGACAAAAGTGTTTCTCTCTTCTTCAGCCCTGAGGCATGAAGGTTTTTCTTCTCATTTCCAGCTTTGCTCGATTTTCCCCACCTGTATTTATTTCATTTTACTTCTGAGAATCAGAAAGTTAAAAATAAATGCACAAGGGATTGGAGGTGAAAAAATTTGAGACTGAATAAGTGGTAGCTCAGGTTTCTTCCAGCTGGGTTGAAGGAGGGGTCATGTTGGGTGAGGGGATGTCACTGTGGAAGACAGAGGCATCTTGGCATCTTCAGGGAACAGAAGCATTTTCCATCCCTTGCGGAGTGGGAGCCATGACTGTCCCTCGCAGAGCACCTAGGACCTCTGAATAGATAGACACTGCCCTGGGCCATAGGTCTAATGGGCTTCCACAGGTCTTGTGAAGGGGGAGCTTCCCCACTCCCCACCCCGCCAATTCCAGGACTAAAGTGCTATGCTGTGGAGTTAGGACAATTGCTGCCTCTTATACATGTAGCTCATGACTTGGTTTAAATTAACAGGCTCGCCTCTCAAAGTAGACACTGGACTTAGTAGTATACACAACAGACCTCCCCTCAAAATCTATTTCTGGTTTTTGAAAAGAGCCAGGCTGACACTAAAAATGAAATTGGTTCTTTCACAGCATGTTGGACCTGTAGAATTGTTCCTGGCTCCTCTTTAAAGTGCCTGGTGGTTTTTCCTTCCCTATTCAATCTCTGTTTAACTATCGACATTAATATTTCCGAAACATTCGCTGGCCTGTGCATTGATCATACTTTATTCCCTAGGCTCGAAAATCTCTTTTCTTGGAATTGGAATGTTTTGTGCAGTCTAAAATAGGCTAAGAGTTAGGCGAAGAGTTGAACACCATTGCCCTTGTAATTATCTTGTCATAGCCATAAGATACTAAATGTTTGCTCTGCAAAAGGCCAATTCAATTGTGGCATTAAACAGATGTCATGATCCAAATGAAACCGAAATAATGGGTTACCAACCCAATCCAGTCATTTCCAGCCAGTCAGCACCCCACCATCTCTACCCATTAAGTGATAGTAACAAACAGGTTATTGTTTAAGTAGAAAAATGCAATATTAAAAAGCTAGGAAACATTTATTGAAAACAGACTGCCTCCACATTTGCGCTGAGCTAAATTCTGTGAAACATCTGCGCATTCCTCAAATCCGGATGATTTTATGTTCATGCCTGATTCTTCAGTGGTAGCTTCAGGGACATTTTAATAAGAAGATTCTACCTCAAACAAAGGTATTAGGCTTTGGGGCAAAGCCTCATTAAAAAACACAAGCACATTTCTTGTTCATCGCTAACGAAAAACTTTTAGAATATTTCAAATGCTCTCAGAAGCCTGGGCCGAGTTGCAAAGGGCCTACGCTACCTCCTGCCCACTCTCTGCAGATCTCTCACAGCCAGTTCTCTAACTTCCCTAGGGCCACTGAGGAGATCAGATGACCTGACCGTGCAAGAGTCATGCGACAGAGGAATAATATTAATAAGTTGCTTAAGTGGGAAGGGGGCTTCACAGAAGGCCGACCGGAGGCGCGTACAGGGGACACGGGGATCTACCTGGAGGAGGAACGGAATTTGTCTTTTCTAGTTCAGAAAAGACTTTAACTGAGCTGTTAGGAAACAAGCCCGCGATTTTAGTGCCTTGCCCTCGCCACTTTATTTCAGCCTCTTTAGTCCCCATGGAGAGCTGGGATGCAAGAGCCGGGCGCGCCCCAGCAGTCTCGCGGGGGCGCTGCTTCCCGGAAAGCCACGCCCTCTGTCTTTTCCCACCTGTTTCCGTTTTCTTTGCCAAGTGTGAAACCAGCCAGCCACCCACCCACCCCGTCACCTAGGTGCCTCCACAGAGCCAAACTTTGTACCTTCTGGGGATGGAGGGGGGGTCCCCCAACAATCGGACAGTACCAGCGAGCCGGCCCCCGTGAGGAGCGACGGGTGGAGCAGGCGCCCGACCGCCTCCGCCGCGCAGCCCGCGGGCCCTGGGGCACGCCCACGCCCGAGCCCGGCCCCCCGCGCCGCGGCCCGCAGAACGTCACCTGGGTGCTCTCGCGTCTCCCCGCGCCGCCGGCTGGCCGCCCGGGCGCCCTTCCTCTCTGCGGGGCTGCAGGTCTATCCGATAAGCGCGCGTGGCCAAAGGCTCGCAGCGGGTCCCAGCCGCGGGAAGGTGGGGGAGGAGTGGGAGGGTCTCTGGGACAGGTCGGGAGCCAGCCCTACTTCCATTTCCAAAGGGAGGGTGAAGACCCAGGAACAGCCCAACGCCGAACCAGCGGGGTTACCTTTGCGCTTGATCCAATCCGAGCGTCGGTTGCGTTGTGCTCTCTTCTAGGAGCGTGGGGTGCCTTCGTGAATAAAATCCGAGGGCTTCTCTGCTCTCTCGGAACTTGTTTTTTCGTATCTTCAACTGCTTCTCTTGACTTTGGTAGTCACTAAAGTCTCTGTGAGCATTTGCAGGCGTTTTCAGCTAAGCAGTTATGGAAACCCGACCTTCTTTTTATATGAACAAATGTTTATTGATGTACCAAAGGTTTAAAGGAAGGGAAGTGGGGAAGGAGAGAGGAAAGAAGAAACCTGTAATACCACCAAGGGACTTGTTTTGTTTTCACAAACTTTTAACCCACACAGCACAACTGCTTGATAATGATCTTGAGCTTCATGCTTGCACCCTGATCAAATCTGCTGGCCTTAGTGGCTACTTAGTAAATAAGGTGACAAGGACGAAGCTGGAGTTGGATCACTTCCTACCCAAAGAAACATCATACTATTTTGGAGACAGACAACCTTCCCTGAATTCCACCGCAACTTTATCATTTACTGTTAGGCAGACGACCTTGGGCAGATTCTTTAATGTTTATAATCCTCAGATGCTCCTTTGGTACAACCAGAATTGCAAAACTTCCTTCCTAGGGATGCCAAGAGGCTTCACTGGCTTGACATAAGCAAAAGCCCTCAAATCAGGCCTGGCATATAGTAAGTGATCAATATGTAGTCCCTATGACAATAATCATTATAGCACCTTTCAGAATCCTTCTCCATCTATAATATGAGTAGTTGGAGTGGCATGGCAAAATGTCCTGTATTTCACGTTAAGTTAGAAAGATGAAAAAAACTTGAAAGGTTAGTGAAATTGGTTAAAATTTCAAAATTCAACAGATAAGAATTTTTAAAAGCAAGTCTAGAGTCAATGATTATACATTTCAGAACTGGAAGTCACCTTAGAGTTAGTGTTCGTGCAAAAAGACTTCATCTCTAAAATCTCTCAGAAAAACCAAGGAGATGTGAGTGTAGGAGATTAAATTTAAAGATAATTTGGATTTCAAAGTGAGAGATTTCGAAGCATCTCTAAGGAAAGAAAAACAAGAAGAAACACTTGACCCATTTATTAGGCTGATTATCTAAAGCCCCTCTGCAATACCCATGTGGAAAAGCCTTTTCTATTTCTCCAATGTTATAAAAATGCAGTCCACTATGAGTTTATACACCTTATGTTTTTTTCCAAGTTAAAATTTTGAAGTATATTTTCCTGTTCAACTTTTCTATCTCTGACCAAATGTTAAGTCTTTTCAAAGAAAACTCAGAGTGGCTTGTCTTGAAGTTCTTACTTGGAAGCAATCCATTTAAAAAAGACAGGGATATTGGCAATGACAATTTTTGCTACTCAATTCATTGTTCCAGTGATCGATGATGAGGATGATGATGCTGACAAATTCTATCTAATTGTGTACTTGAAATGAAGGATGGATAAATTTCTTTTTGTTGTTGTTGCCAAGTTGAAAAAGTGAAGAATACAATTTTTTTTTCTAGCCGAATATATTGTATTGTGTTTTATGGAGCACTGGTGGCTAAAAAACCTGTGCTAGAGATCACTATTCAAGAAAATATTAGCATATGAGGTTTAATTGCATCCGTGCTTATGTATAACAATTTCCATAGATGTCAACAGAAGATATTTGGTCTCACCTTACATTCTGGTGCCACTTTTATGTGTACTTTAAAAAGTATCATTACCTTCTTTATTTTTATAATAATTCAAGGTACACAGATGGGTGTTATTCCATTTTACGAATAAAGAAACTGAGGTTAAAAGTTAAAGTAAACCATAGACAGTGAAACAGGCTGAACCAGAAATAGAATCCCACCCAGTTCTCTCCCTGGACCTTGAGCTCTCTGATGAGGTCACGTTTTTAGATAACAGTAGGGGAGTCAGAATGTCCAGTTAAAACCCCACCACTGTAAAGTCCCAGCTTTTCTTTTCTCAGCTGGAAACTGGGAAGTTTGTGAGACAAAGCAGTTCAGGTTACTGGCAAGTTAGGTGTTGGGAGGTGGCTTTGTGTGTGGCGCTCCTGCTGACCTGGTTTTGTCCCATTCTGGTTACAGACTTCTGGCTATGCTTATCAGAAAAACTTTCATTTAGTTCAAGGATTTTTGTGAGTTTCATTAATTCTGGTTTTATAAAAATAAAAGAGATTGGTGCAATGATTAACTCCACATGCTGATGAGAATAAGGCTTATTGTGCTATGTGTCTATACCATGGACTGCAGAATGTCCTCAGTGGGTCCTGATGTATATTCCTTCTCATTAGGGGATTGTTCAGGAACATCTCTGTACTGACTTGGCATGGCTCTCTTCTAAGGACCTATGCTGTTCCTGAGCTCCTCACTGGCCTCGGCTGGGATGTTACTTGTCTCTGCAGTCATTTGCTACTCAGCTTGGTCTTTGGCTCTTGACTTCCTTGAAGCACAGCCTCTGAGAACTTAATCAACTACTCCTATCAAAGGATCTGCTTCCCTTCAAAATGGTTTACGGAATTCTGACTGTGGCTCTCTAAAAAAATCATCTCTCTCTAAACTGAACCACAGTGTCCATATTGGGTCTATGAGCTGAAGTTTCATCGAGCTTTGACAACAGAAGGAATTTTAAAGACCTATTAACAAGAAGAATCTCTCCTAGGACTCTAGTAGTGGGTTCCATTTAGATTATAATGTTTTAAAAATGTCTCTCAGGCTACAGTGTCTCAGAAAGTTAGTCAGATATCATTTTGTACCCACTAACATAAGCATTGCATAAACAGCCGTGAGATATTGCAGTGTTTCTAAAAGCCTGTCTGTAGAGCCCTAGTCCCATGAGATGATCCATGAACAAAGGGTTTTATTGTTCTGAGAGAATTATTGGTCTGAGCTCTTCAGCCCCTCCTTGGATCGACCCCATGCGATGGCCTCATCATGGGTGGAGCATATTTCATCACTCTTTGACTTTGGGCTTGGCTATGTCACTTGCTTTGTCCAGTTGAATATGGATTAGAGACATAGCATGACAATTTTAGGAGTAGTACTTAAGAAACTTAGTGCATTTTCACAGCCTCCTGTGTACCTCTGGCATTGTCCAAGAAGAACATGTCCTGGCTAACCTGCTAATCCAAGGAGGATGAGAGAAGCTTAGAAAACACAAATTCCCAGACCTGCTGCTTGAAGCAGAAGTGTTCCAGTCAAACTGCAGCTCTGTGAGAATAAATGGTGATTGTTCTGAGCCACTGAGTTTTGGTATGGTTTGTCATCTGGTGTTATTGTGGCAATAGATAACTAATATAATAGTCAAAAGAGTTCAGGACACATGTAACTCCCTCTTTTCAGAGTCATAACCCACATTAACACATTAAAGGCTCTGAGAATGACTGCATTAATTCATTACTTCCCAAACTCATTTCATATGTTATAGTAATATATAAAACACACACTTTGTATTAAAAAAAAAAAAAAAACAACGAAGAGCAGTGTGTCTAAATCCTAAACTTGCTATTAAGAAACTTGGATGGCCGGGCGCGGTGGCTCAAGCCTGTAATCCCAGCACTTTGGGAGGCAGAGGCGGGCGGATCACAAGGTCAAGAGATCGAGACCATCCTGGTCAACATGGTGAAACCCCGTCTCTACTAAAAATACAAAAAAGTAGCTGGGCATGGTGGCGCGTGCCTATAATCTCAGCTACTCAGGAGGCTGAGGCAGGAGAATTGCCTGAACCCAGGAGGCGGAGGTTGCGGTGAGCCGAGATCGCGCCATTGCACTCCCGCCTGGGTAACAAGAGCGAAACTCCGTCTCAAAAAAAAAAAAAAAAAAAAAAAAGAAACTTGGATGAACTCTTAGAACAATTGACAACAATTTTCAAGCCTTACCAATCAATCAGACTCAAAAATTTACTTATTAGTAAGTTCCCATTTACCCTCTCACGGCTGCTGAATTTCACGTCAATGACTTGTCTAGTATGGCTTTAAATTTCTAAATGATTAAGAATTATTTTCTACTTCTGGTGCTAGCCAAATTTCAGAATGATTTTATAATCAGAATAAAGAACATTTATTTTTAAAGCAAATGACTAATGAATTATATTGATCAATTTTAATTAAATTCATTGTTTTTTCAAATCACATATCAAATATTTGCTATTAAAGTTACTCAGCAGCTATGTTGATGTTAAAAATGAGAATGAATATAGCCTGAAATATGGCTGATCTCTTTTTCTCTTAATTTTTGAGAAATGGGGAGCACATTCAGGAAAACTCTTTTTCAAAATTAGTCACAATGCCAAGGCTTGGGACTGCTTTCAGGCACAAAAGAAAATACAGGGGTTTCAGGAATGTATAGAAAACACCTCTTTTTTCATTTGATTTGGTAGCTATGAATCATTGTTGATATTTGTTTATATCCCTAAGGGGCCTTGGCCTATGCTTTCGTTTCAAACACTCACAGGTGCTCATGTTCAGCAGCTACGATTGGCAATGATGTTTGTACGGGAATTTACTTCTTTCCAGCTTCTTGAAAAATGGTCATAGCTTATCATGGAAGTTGTCTCAGTAAGGATAAATCATTATGACCTGAAATGTCTTAAAACAAAGTGAAAAATCAGTTGACCTTTTACACTTTTTCCTTCTGTTTGGTGAACTTCTTTCTTCTCACTATATTTGCCCCTGGCTGGCTGGTCTATGGTAAGGTGCTATCTATTAACTAAAGTGTTAGTAAAATCCTTTCATTTGTAGTTAAGCAGTGCTTTTAAAAGGCATTCACTCCCAATAATAAAATGCTTGGAGTATTATTCCAGGTACTAGGGGTACAAAGATGAACAAGATATCATCCCTGCCAATGAGGAGCTTGCAATCTTGTGAAAATAAACACATGAATAGTTACAGTGCAAATGAAATGAAAGTATGATATGCATTCCTAAGATAGAAGACATGTTAACTGAATATTCTTAAAGGAGGTCTATTTTTGAGTTTGCTTATGTTGGGTAGCAGAATTTTGATGAGTTAGTGAGTTAAGGCATACAGCCTAGTTTTTATTCTTTGATAA